AGTTACGGGGAGAGAGAGAAAGAAGGGAGAAGGGAAGGGAGGCGCGGGAGGGAGCGATGTGGGGGACAGAGAGGAGGAAGCTTTTGCATGCACGGTGCCGTCAAAAAAAAGGAAAAAAGGCACCGAAATAGTTACAGCTTGCTTCTATCCTAATTCAAAATTGAAACCACCATATCCGCACGAGAAAAAGCGACGCCGGAAAATAAAATCCTACACCTATTCGTACTCTCGTAAAATTCCGAGAGATTTCCCCGATGCGCCCAAGCACATTCACACACCCAAAAAGGACACGTCGAAGTTCCGCTTATCCCGGAATTCCCAACTACCGAGCCCAATTCCTAGTGCGCTCGCTAAGGCGCACGTAAATTCCCATGAATTTCCCGACTTTGCAAAAAAGAAAAACAGGACTCAGCAGTCGGAAAAAAAAACTCTCAAAAAAGGAAAATGCGCCCCCTGAAAGCAAGAACTCAAAACGGGATTTTCCTGGGGTTGGTATGATGCAAGCAAAAGAAAGGGTACGAAAGATGGCACGGGGTCGGAAAGTGGTTCGTCACATATGTGACGCGCAGGGGGTTCCAAAATTATGCGATCTCCTGATTGCATGTCATGGCGAAGAAGAAGAGGGGAGAACAGAGTGATGCATAAGGAACGAAGCGTATCAACATAGCAGAAAAGAAGTACGAGGAACGATAACTGGGCCGCGGATGAGATGGCAACAACATCCGTGGCAAGATCTCTGTAGCCCTGTCATATGGAACCCTCTGCCTCGTGGAGATCGTCCAGGTGACGCCATCATGGTCCATCCGATCTCCGTGTGCTCTACACTCCTGCTCGTTGCTGTCCGTCGAATCAGCGCATAGGTTGACGTCATCATCGATGGCGTGATCTTCGCGAAGCTTACTGATTCGTGTCGATGGAGGGAGGAGAGAGGGGAGGGGGGGGGGTAGGTGAAAGGGGATCTACCACTGCCTAGTTGGGATAGGCCAGTAGAGGCGGTACATGCCGGGGATCTGGCGGGGATGACAGGGAGGGAGTAGGGGTAGGAAGCGATTCATCCCTTCCATAGTCACCGGGAGCTCCTCTCATTGGATGATTCGATGGAAGCGGGGGAAATGATCGCCACTGCGGGGGAGAGAAGCGAGGTAATCGTGATAGAAGGAGGAGAGGGTGCGGAAAAGCGCCGCTCGGAAGATCTCGAAGTGGCGACAGGCGGGGATTGTCCCCGTGGCAACGCAATAGACCTCTACCACTTTGGATTCCTCCCATGCAGCGCTGAACAGCAGGAGATGTCAGCAAAACGTGGGAGCAACGGACCGAAGGGAGGCGTGGGGGTAGACGAAGGCGAGTAGACGGGTGGAGTAGAAGTCACGGAAGAGATGTGGATGGAAAGGATGGGAAGGGAAGGTGACGGGGGTACAGATCTGCTCGAGGGTGAGGAAATCAAGGGGTCAGCGGGACGGCGTCTGAGGACGAAGGCCTATCGCCCGCATCGGTACGTGGGCGAACTGGGGGACGGGTGGGGCTAGAGGGGGAGGGGGATCGGCGCCGTCTCCGTCGCGCGGCACTTGAGGTGGTGGCTGCAGGGTCGCCATCTCCGAGCTTCGATGGCTCTGGTTCCCGGGTCGGATCGTTATCAAGGCGCAGGCTAGGTTTGCTGGCGAACTCCAGCTAGCGCTTTCCGGAGGCAATTTCTTCGCACTTTCGTGCCTTTTCCCGTTCTTCCACCTCCGTTCCCGTACGTATTGCTTCTTCCGGCGGGGCTTCCCGCTCGGATCCGGCTCCTTCTTCTTCGTCGTCGTCGATGATCGGTGCTTCTTCTGCCCTCGGGAAGAAGGCGTAGGGGATCTTGTACGGCTTCAGATACTTCTGTCGCGATGGTAGTGTATCCTCGTCGCTAGGTTTCTCCAAGCACGAAGTCCACTAAAGGTACGGATCCAAGGATCGCTCGAAAATGTACGGAGTAGGACTGTTGTCACTCTAAAAGTAGATGTCGGACGAGAGGTCGTCCGCCAATTGTACGATCGGTGCGATGAGCTCCTGTGCAATCAACTGACGGCGACCTGGTTGCACCCATCCAAAGAGGAATCCAATAAGATCTCCTTCCGCGTTAGTCCTCCAACCCTGTATGATCAGCAGCTCCGGGTTCTCGGTCCACGTGGGGTACTCGATAGTGCCCGTCCACTTCACTTGTACTCGGGCCAAGCAGAAGGACAACTCCTCAAAAGTTTAGCGCAACAGCCGCCAATATCCAGGTTTGATAAAAGGGACCGAAAGAGGCTCGAATGAGAAGGAGAGAGAAGGGTGAAGATCGGATTGCCAGAAGGTGGGGAAGAGAGAGGGAAGACCAAAGATAGAGAGAGGAGTGAGGAGATGGGCGTGGTTCATTGGGGACGGGGGAAGGGAACGATGGCAGGAATCACAACAGGCCGCTCGCTCAGTGATTGGCGAATACCGTCAATATCCGATGCAGAGATCAGAATGATGTTATACCCTTCGCGGGCGAGGACGTGCTGCCACACATTGGACACTTACTCCGTCCACTCACGCAGCGAGGCCAAGATCTCGGTATGCCTCAGCGGATTGACCGAGCTGATGTCGCTGGTGAATCCCGCCACTGTGGTGACGTGGCTCGTTCCAAGACCCGCTCGCCGATGAACTGTAGTAACCTTCGCGAATACTATCGCATGAGGGTTTTCTTCTATCCGAAATGCGGCGGTGGCACAGACACCTTCGTCGCAGAAGAATCACATCAAACGGCGGAGATCCGTATTGAGCCGAGGGTGATAGACTTGCCGAATTTCTGAGAGGTGACCACGTGGCTGCCGCAGCTGTAAGTCAAGAACCCGCTCCGTGATAAAACTCATGGCTAGGTCGGAGAGGAGGATAAGGGACAAGAGGAGGGAGAAAGAGGACAGAGGGTTAGATCGTCGTCGTTTTCCTCGCTTTTCGAGGAAGAAGACAACAGAAAAATTCCCACGAGAAATGAAAGTTGAAAAATATTTTATAAAAAAAAACTCCTTCATATTTATAAATTATCATTCCAATGTTCGTCCAATTCTAAAATTTTCAATTTCATTTGATAATTTCTTGTCAAAATATGAATTTTCCCTTCCAACTACATCTATTTGTTCAAGATGGAATGAAAGTCTGGACGAGTTTATGAAATGTTTTAATCAGACTTTCATTCTACTATAACAAATAGCTTCTAATTTAGATTGGATTAACTTATTTATGACGGGAAATCCTTACTTAGAATGATAGTCCAATTAAAATATTTCATGAACTCATCCAGACTTTCATTCCATCTCTAGCATACATTTCAAATAAGAAGGGATACCCCATTCTTGGACGGAAAGTTTTCAAGTAAGATGAAAATTTTTAAAATTAGAATAATATTTTTTTAAATGAGTGTAAATTTGAAATTTAAAATGTAATTTTACTCTAGAATGATTATTTAATTCTGGAAAATTTTTTTGTTGGAGGGAGGAAGGAGACGGAGGTAGGAGGTATGTCGGACGATGGGGACGGAGCTATGGCTGGCGCTAGCCTCTGTTGCGATGTGCACCGTGTTGGCGCCGTTGGATCCGAGTTCGATAACGTGAAAGCAGCCAGAGAACTTAGGAGCGAGTTTCCGGTCGCGTGCACATTTACGTACCTACACTAGGTCCCCCAATTTATATTGGTACTGGGGCCCAGCATTCCCATTCCGAGCCTCATAGCTGCGGATCTGTCTACCGTGGGCCAGTTCGGTCATCCTTTGCCTTTTCCAGGCTAGCTTTGGAACGGTCCGTTCCATTAAGTCGGTGTACCTCTTGGCCTTGGCTTTGAGGGCCGCACGCGTGTCTCTGCCCCCTGCTTCGGTAATTTCTAAGTTACCCCGGTAATCGACACAGGGGAGGCTATTAGTTCGAAGCTGAAAGGGGGTGAACCCAGTGGATTCGTGAGGGGTGGCCCGGTGGATCCCGACGATCTTATATACAATTTCGGGCCAAGGGCGCGTGTCGTGTGCCGCTAAGTTCCTGCGAAGGGCGGTTTTAATCATACGGTTTGCATTCTCGGCCAACCCGTTCGACTGAGACACGTGGGGTGCCGTATGTCGGAGCGTGACGCCCCTTTGCGCAAGTAGTTACTCCACCTCACCTTTAAATTCAGATCCATTATCGGTTAGAATTTCTTCCGTATCTAGATAGGTATAGAGGAACCGTTCGATATACGTGGCTATTTCTGCGGCTTTTCGGGTCTTACAGGGATAGACTTCGATGTATTTGGAAAAATAGTCAATTAATGCTAATAAAATAGAATATCCACAGCGGTTTGGGCCAGGTGGCACGTCAATATCGGTCGTGTCCATACTGACTCGCTGAAAAGGACGCCCTACTTCCGTGGGTACGATCGTGTTTGGTCGCCATATAGGGGCGCGATCAGCGGCACAGACCAGACAGTTAGCGACAATGTATTTGACATCATCTCGTTTATTAGACCAGAACCGTCGGTTCTGGTCTACGGTTGCCTCGGTGACGCGTATCGCGAAATGGGCGGCCTGTTCCTCGTGAGCAGATCGGATCCAATCGTATCTCTGGAAGGGATGAGGAACTGTCAGCCACGAACCCAATCCGTCAGTTTTACGCTTTTCTAAATGACCGTTGATCCATCGATAGTCCCGAGATCTCTTGGTTACCCTACGTCTGTCGTGTTTGGTGAGGTGGCCCAAAGATAATCCTGCTAATTTTGCCAATAAAATTTTATCTGTCCAAACCTCCGCTCGTCGATATTTTTCGTCGTATTCAGGGTCGTCCGTACGTGCGGCCTCGAATCGAACCTCCGTGGGGAGTTTGTTTGTTCTACATAGGGGGCACCTCCATTCCTTGCTACTCGCCCGATATCGTATGCAGACCCCGTGCGCACGATTGACACACGTGGCACATCCTACCCAATCGACAAACCCAGTTTCGAAGGGATGACAGTCGATCCCATAAACCCGTGCAATGCACATGCAAAAATAATAGAATTTGTCGGGGAGGGTGGCAAAGAAAGCTGAGGAAGTAAGAGGGGCAAAATTAGTAGGAGAAGAAGGGGTGGTGAAGTCAGACGGGGTAGTCATGATGACAGAGGGGAAGAGACGGGTCTGAATTGTGGAGAGAGTAGAGTAGGCAAATTAATCCTCGTGTCACTTACTGCTTCGACAAAATCTCCACTTGGCCGTACTGGGGTCCAATCTTCTGCTCGGGTTCATTCCACGGAATCACCTCCTCATTCCTCGAAACTTTCTCAGGTCGGTGCAGTCGTGTCAATCCATCCGCATTCCCATGTCTCTCGTGCTTCCGATGACAGATGTCAAAGTCCATGCTCTGCAGCACCGTTGCCCATCGCCCAATCATGCCCGAGTAATCCTTCGACCTCTTCAGAGCCAACAGGGGCTCATGATCAGTCACTAGGGTGAATTTTCGCCCATATAGGTAAGCACGAAAGTGACTGATTCCCCAGAGGGCCGCATAGCATTCTCCCGTCGGAGCGGCGTAGTTGCGCTTGCAGGCGGGTATTGATTTGGACGCATACTCCACCGCACTCTCGAGTCCGCTTGGTCCCACCTGGGCAAGGATCGTCGAAATCGCCTCTGGCTGCCAGTCGGTGATGAGAACAAAAGGCTTTTCAGGATCCGGTCTTATAAGGACCGAAGCCGAAATGAGAGCAGCCTTGAGTTTGGAAAATGCTTGATCGCACTCCGGCGTCCAGATCAACGGTTGATCCTTGCATAGGAGATTTGTGAGGGGTCCCGCAATCGCCGCGAAGCCCTTAATAAATCTTCGGTAATACGAGACTAGGCCTAGAAAGGCACGAACTTGCGTGATAGTAGTAGGCACTGGCGCGTCCCTGACAGCTGCCACCTTCTGCGGCTCTGGTTGGATTCCTTTGTCTGTCACCACATGCCCCAGGAAGGAAATGGTGGTGAGAAAAAACTGACTCTTCTCAAGCGCCACCTTGAAACCGGCATCTCGTAACGCATGCAGTGTCCATTCGATGTGCTGCACGTGTCCTTCATAGGAGCTCGAATACACCAAGATGTCATCCATGTACACAATCACGCAGTAGTTGATGATGCTCTGTGCCAAACGAGTTTTCCGTACGAAGTTCTGAAAGGCCATATTCATGGTTCACTGAAAAGTCGCAAGGGCATTGCAGATACCCATCGGACATTGAATCCCGAACATCAAACTTGCTGAAAAATCGAGCACTCCCAATCGCATTCAATAACTCATCAATCAAGGGGAGGGCATACACATCTTTAATCGTGATATCATTCAGCTTTCGATAATCAATGCAAATGCGAATCCCTCCAGCCTTCTTAGGTACGATCACTACAGGGAAGGACCATGGTCCTATAGCGGGTTCGATCCATCCATTAGCTTCGAACTCCTTAATCCGCTGAAAGGCGGCCGCTCGTCGAGATGGCGAATATCGGTAGGGAGCGCAGCTAATGGGCAGATGATTCTTCGTGAGAATGGCATGTTCAATTACATTAGTTAACCCAATATCATTATCATGCATGCTCAGCACTTCTGCGTAACCATTCAATACACAGATCAACGACTTCCGGAGTTCCGTGGGAACGTGACTCGGGAGGGGGATTGTTGATTCCTTGGACATATTAAGGGGCATATCGATCCAATCAATTGGTCGTTCCCGCCGCTCATAAACACTAGAAAAGACGGAACTACTGGTGCGAACAGAAAAGACAGTTACTATCATCTGGGACTCAGTGGGGCTAATCATCTCCGTTTCTTTAGTTTCAGCGTCAGTTTCTGACCCAACCAAAGTTGGTTTCACAGCTAGTCTTGTTAGATCTGTCATTTCTTGCATTAGATTTGGCACGTCACTTACCGGTGTTTCCGCTTCTTGTTTAATCAATGCGATAGTGGCTCCTGTCGTTAGTAATAATCGGGGCGGAAAAACGGAAACGTCCAAATACTGTTCCGTTTGCTGATAACGTGCTCGTAAGGAAAGAGATCCCTCGTACAAGGTGCGAGGGGGTTCCAAATCATCGGCCAGATCGGAGACTTGTAATATCGGTTCCCTGAGGAGGACTGAAGGACTGACTAGGGTTGTTAGAGGCATGAACGCACTGTCTTCAGAGTCCACGTGGAAGCTTTGAGCGGTGTCGGGGCACACTCGAAATTCTTTAGGGATTTCATGTTCGAAAAGTTCAACCAGATGCTTCCATTCCTCTTTACTGGGCATCTCTTCTCCGTATTCTTGCTCCCTGACTCCGTCCCCGAGACGCAAGAAGGAACATTCTTCGGGATCAGTGGGTCGGATCATCCCTATTTGGGGCGAGTTAGGAACCCGCTTTATTGTTCGGGTGGAAACCCGCAAAGGAACAGTCTGAGGTTTCCCCCCAGTTTGTGTGAGCACCAATTGTTTTGAATCGAAGTGCAGACGTGCGCCCACCGCCATCGCCCAAGGTAATCCCAACAATACCGAGTAGGAACATACATCTATTACGAGCGCGTTAACCAGGACGTGTACTCGCCCGACCTTTACAACTACGTTCTCGATAACACCCGCGATGTTCATTGCTTCCTCGTCGGCAGAGACATAATTGTTTTTGCCAGATTGAGGAAGCATGGATCCAAGTCGTCCCGTCTTTTTGATAGTATCTAACGATATGGCTACTACAGAAGACCCTATGTCGATCAGGGCGTTAAACGGCTTACCCCAAACTTCATAATCACATTCCGCACTTTTCCATAGTACCGGCCGAGTTCGTATGAAGTGATCCTTTTCTGCTAAAGAGATGGCGGCTATGGGTGCGGCTTCAGGTTTCTTAGTATCCGGGTCAGGGGATACCACTTCCTCAGTTTCTTCTTTCTTTTTCAACATTCGTTGTATGCGTTGATAGGTAAAACGCTTTTTATTTTTCTGACAGTATTGTAAAAGTTTATCGTTCGCTGTTTCAGATATGGTGAGCAGATGCCCTACGGGGATAGGAACGTGGATGTCTAACTGCTTGAGCGTTTTCAGTAAATTAATGTCTCCTGTCCGAAACTGTGGTCCTGGATTGGATTCGCGATCGACCCACTCAAGATCATCTGGGACCGATCGGATGACTCCTATCATGCCTGCGAGATGGAGATACTCGAGAGGATCGACCACGTCAGCAGCGTTGGGGGAAGAAGCTCCCGATGTTGATGCCGTTGTCATCGAAGGGGAGGGTTGCTCTGTGGCATATGCCATGAGTTCTCTTTCTCGATCCGTATCCATCAAAGTGGCCACTTGTCCTTGATTATGGGCGACGGGGGCCGCAGCAGGGGAAGGCTGATTACGTTTCGGTTGTGGACAGTCCCGAGCGAAATGCCCGGGCTGTTTGCAGTTAAAACACTCAATCCTTCCAACCGGATTAGCTAGATGAGGAAACCGAGGTGCGAATCCTAGAGCCTGGGGAGCAGGTAAGAGTGGAAACGATGCAGGGGTAGGCCGAGCAGGAGCTGGGTTAGGCTTAATGAACCTGCTCATTATCTGTTCCATCCGTTCCACATGAGCGCCCTGTATTTGGATCAAGTTGCTCATCCATTCGGACTGCTTGGTAGTGGCCGTATGGATTATCTGGGCAAGGTGTAGATTGGTTACTGTCGGCGAGGGGGGTATGATGAAGTTCCGTTCCTAATGGCTGCGATCGACTGATTCACCGGGGGAGATGGAGGAGAAGTAGTCGGGATATCGGAAACGATTCCGCTGGGAAGGTCATGGTCGGTCGGGGCGGGGATAAAATCGTTCGACCGCCTGCCACCATGATCGCCTTTTAGCCGTTACATCCCGTATGGTATCCGTAATGTCTTCGTGTCCCTGGTTGATATATTTTTTTGTATCAGCCAAGTCTAGCTCCAACGCTTCAGTAATGATAGTCGATAACTGGGTTGTTTTTGGCGAAACTTTTTTCTGTAGTTTCCCTTTCAAGGTCGGACTTCGAAGGTGATCAATAAACAGATCTCGAGAAGATTTTTCGTCCCGCCCGGATTTATCCAATGTGGTTTGAAATCGATCAGCGAAATCAGGTAACAGTTCCCCTGGTCCTTAAGGTCGATTTTTTAGCACGTACCAAGCGGCATCTTCACTAACCGTGTCGAATCGAGCCAAGAATGCACGCTTAAAAGTCTCCCAATCTACCCACGTGTGTTTCCTAAACCAGTCATGCGACGTATTACGAAGTAGCAATGTCAGAACTCGGGGGAGATCAGTTGCGTTGTAGTTTTGAGCTTCGACAGCTTCCAGCCAAGCCTCGGGATGGGTATGGTTGGGGAAGAAGGGGAAGGGGGCAGGGATGCTAACGATCACCCTCGTGCCGTCTACCGTTGTTGCGGGCGCACCCGCTCCAGACTGAGACCTGGTCACTGGGCAATCTCGACGAGCTAATGGAGGGTCTCTCCTACCTCTCACCAGTTCGGCTTACTATCATCAGAATCGACACGTGTCGACTCCGATACCAACCTCACGCCATGTGCTGTCTTCCATTCGGAGTGTTAGCTGTGCGGAAAAGAGACCCAGAAAAACAGCAAGATGGGGTGTGCCAAGGATTTTTGGAAATTGAGTGTGGGGACACAGACGGAACTGAAATCCCCCGTGTTGGTCCGATGGAGCAAGTCGATCGTTTTCGCGCGTCACGGAATGCGCGCGCGGGCAAGGTGGGAAGAGAGGGAAAGATCCAAATAAAATCCAAAAAGTATTATCGTGCCTCCCACCGGGCTACAGCCCGTCGTTTAGAACAGAAAGGCTTGGGCACGCTTCGCGTGTCCCGTTTTCGTATCAAGTCTCGTCGTCATTCGCTGGTTAGTTCCGAGTCTGACGTGGAGAGTCTCAGTCGCGTGGCTCTTTCTTTATGCTCGTCTTCACTCCGCACACGGTAGTGGAAACCCCTGGGCTCGTAGCACTCAAAACGCTGACATTCGGTGCACAGAGTGCGCGGCCAGTGGGGTTCTACTGCCGTCCACGGAATGATGATCACCTCGTTAAATAGCAACAATACCGAGTAAGGTGGGAAGTGCGTATCGATAATAACAAACCCGGTTTCTACGAAACCAGAACAGCGGTTGGCCGGAGGGAAGTAATACTGCCCGCCGATTTGTGCAACGACTTCTCGTACGTCCCACTCACATACACGTGTCCTTTCCTCACTGTAAGGAAAAGGTCGCGTTGGGATGGGAGATACGGGAGGCTGGTGCCCAATCGAAGGGTACTTGTCATTCCACATGTCAATCAATCACAAAATATCATGAGACGTCATTAAGAACAAAAGCGATTCGCGCATCCCCCAATCAATATTTTTGACACAAGAGAGAGAGAGAGCAAACACATATAAGCTTGATCACGCATATGGCTACGGGTCTGATCTGTTCAACACAACGTTGGTCCTTGGGTGCCTTGTTTCTCAGGGCCGCCTCGTGGCTCGGCTGCTGATGTCGTGCAGCATAAGGCAGATGGCATGCGCAGTGCAAACAGAGCTACAGATCTAAACACTCTTGCATTCTCGAACAAAATCCCGATGACAATCGTCTAATCAACAAAAGAGTCACACATTTCATACATGCACTCACTTTGGAAGGTGCGAAAATGAGACATGCACAGGAAAAGATGGATCGCATTACTCAGTACACACGCATCCACCGTTCACAAGACAAAAAGACAGGGTCCTTGCGTAGGAGGATTACCCAGGAAACTAATGGAAGAGTTCCGGAAGAAGTTCTTTCACACAGAATGCCGAATCATTCTCATTCAAGAGCGGGACAATCATTCAGACGCACCATCATTCAAGAGGAGAGAGAGAAAGAGAGAGAGTCGAGGGAAAGAGAGTCAAAATAGAAGATGACAAGGTCCGAAAAGAGAAAAGTTTGGCGTCGCCGCCTTACACTCATGCCAAGGATAACAATCTGCAACAAAGACGCATTCGTCGTTAATTCCATTATGGCCCTGGGCTAATCACTCACTCAACTCCAATCATCGAGCCTCATACCCGCACCGACGATCCCGGTCGTCGCGTGCTAACTCCCACCACTGCGATCGTCACCCCGCTCTCGTAAACTCGACACGGTTCGCCCGGATCCCACAGTCCGTCGTTGCGATCAAGCGCGCAACCGGCCAGCCTATCGTCAGCCCGACAGGACTTTCCGACTCGCATCAATCCACTCTGCCTAGCCACTGCTTCCCGGAAGCTAGCTTAGGAGTCGAGAACGTAAGAGAGATTTGCGGACGCGCTTGCGGGTTTTATAGTTGAGACAGGGGAGATAGAAGGGGGAGAAGGCGACAGGAAAGCTGAGGTGTAAGAGGAGAAGCATGAGGAGAAGACTTTGAGAAGAGTGCTCTGCGAACGCCATGTTGATCCCTCG